GGTCTTGTCTCATCTCAAAACTAATTTGCTCATATTGACAAGTTCTAACTATTTTGAGAAAAATCGAGTTCTTGACTTCTTTGTATGCATTTCATCATCATTTAAAGCATCGAATCACTAATGATAAGACTTTCTTTATATGAGTGTTATTTGAGGTGAAGAGGTTGTGTTTTGAGTTTTGAGAAGAATGATTACCTCCAAGTAATTACATGACATGTTCTGAAATTTGACCAATCTTAGAGGTGTTTAGTGAATGCATTTATCATTATATTTCTTTCTTTTGAGTTTGAAATACAATGTATATTTCTAGATTTAAATTTGATAATAAAGTCATGTAAGAAGAAAATTTTAAAATATGCTACTTAGTTTAGAAAAACTCGAACAAAATATTTTAATAAACGATGTTTAAAAACTAAAAAAAAAAAAGAACTCGAATTTATAAAGTACGGGCCTATGTCGACCCTTTATGATCTTGAATATGCTTAGTCAATATTTTCATATCTTGTGTTGGCAACTCGTACAGTTCAATAGTAGATTAGTTTTGGCATATTGTTATTTAGAGAGATCCAATCATGATCAATTAGAGACTAAACTTTTCTTTTAAAAGCCATTCAACTCTTGATACCATGCCCTTCTAAACTAGAGTGGTAGTCATATTTTTTATCGGGTTTGTACAAATGTAAATATGGTGGCTGAACTCGGATCGGTAAGGATACGAATGACTCGGATTGATATTGTTGAGATGCTTGAACAACTCATTTAGAGACATAAAAAGAGGAGGCAATATGGCTTGGTACCTTGTGCTTTGATTGCTTTTGGGTGAAGGTCTTGATTGATAATGTAAAGGTTACTAATAGTTTGGAGGTGATTTGAATACATTGTTATATTGCCTTGAGCAAGTGTTCATAGAAGGTGCATATAAAGGTATTGCTTGATTGTTTTATATCTCTCATCCGGAAAAAGTGATGGTTTGGGAGTTACCGATTATTCCATCACCCTCTAGATTAAAATTTGATAGACTCTAGTTGATGAAAATCATTGTCTTTCTTCGTCGTTAAAATTGTTCTTTTTTGGATTAGATTCTGAAATCTTTCTTGTCTTAATAATCGGTTTCACTCTCTCGATATTAATCACTACATCGACAAATTTAGGTGAGAAATTACTAATAAGATATTTAAAATAAAGGGTTTTGAAGGTGTGGACGAACATAGAGATCAATTCATTTTTAGTTAGGAAATGATGGATTTGAGCGACCACTTCACACCATCTTTAAGCATACTCTTTAGCGGGCTCTTTCAACATCTTTTTCATGTTTTGCATCGTGGTTCTATTCGAAGCCACCTCTAAATTAAACTTGTATTGGTAAATAAAGGCATCTACTAGATCTTTTAACCTTCGGATTTGAACTCAATTTTGTGAATTCAAGTACCTTAAATTTTATTAGGATGACAACATCGGACATTAACACATTTCGACGACTTTCACTAGGTCATATAGGTTCATTCCTTCAATAGCCTTTAAACGCTCTTCAATGGATAATAACTTATCAGCTTTATCGATCCCTATTGCTTTATCTTTTCCTATCTCTTTAACTATAACATTAATTGGCCGACCAATGGCTTTTTTAATCAATAACATGAATGGATATAAAGCATTAGGATATGGTGACTCTTGAGTGGTGAATATGCTCCATATCCCGGTGGTCGAAGATGGGTAGATGCCTTTTGTAGTGCCGACATGGTTAAAGAATGACCGACCATAAAGGGCAATAGGGGTGTTAACTCGATGCTTGATGTGAGAAAAATGAGGGGTTCTTTAGTAACTAGTGGCATATAGGAGCTAGGTCCCTTAAAGCTTCCTTTATTTAATGCTTTTTTTTTTTTTGTAGTAGTAGTTGCTCTAACAAACTAGTTTATCGAGCCATATCTCCCTCGAGAGCTTCAATCTTATTGTCATACTTTTGCTTTAACTCGATTTCTTTCTTCGTTTTTCATCCTTCTCCTAAATCTTGTATTGCGGATCTTTAGCGAAGGTTGAGCTTTTATAGTGCGACCTTTATTTTTTTCTAAGATAAATATGCAAAATATAAGACTTAGAAAGATGCGGTGCTTCCATATGAGATTATGCATGAGGTTTTTTTTAATTGAAAATGAGCACCATGACTATCAATCTAATTTTAAAGCTAGCAATGGATCGAAAATCAAGATGGTGTTTACTATTGCCGACATTTCTACTATGAACTATGCCAACGAGGGTAGAGTATCTTGATATAAGAGAGCAAAGTAACCACCCTTAATGGTAGTCTTGATAGTTACGGTGCTTCTAAAGTAAAACAATGGTATGCACAAGAAAACAAACAATGTATGCACCCTTGTCATAAGGATAGCCTAGGGATAAGTTTTAGATGTATCTAGATGTGACTAGGTAAGGTTGTCTTAACCTAACTTTTTCAAAAGCTCTCATCGTGGGCTCAAATTCAACCATATTAGGAGATACTTAAAGCTTTATTCTTATGCATGAGGGTTATCGAGTTTCCCTTTGTAGTCTCATGCACAAGGATAAACTTCCTACGTGGGTGGAGGTGCGAATTATGTGAGCTCCGGGATCGCGAGTCCCTAGAGCACCACCTCCTTCCTTCTAATCTTAGATTAAGGGATCGAATGTGTGCAATCTCAAAAATGATTCTTGTGTCGGTGCTAGTGTGTGCAAAAGGGTCACACTTCATATACAAGTCCAAACATCAAAGTAAAATACACAAGAATACAAACACATAAAGATAATTTTCGAAAGCAAGAAACATCATAGGCTTAACCTCTAATTCCCTACCGGAGTCACCATTTTATCACATGGTGACCTTTCGACGATCACAAAAAATATAAATATATACGTATAAAGTCACAACTCGGTTTTCGAATGTGAAAACTAAGAAAAACCTTACACCGATATTAAGAGTTTTAATTAATGGGGTTGATTACACAAATGAAGAACATTACAGTCACCCTAGTGTGCCCTCATAATGATGTTACATTTTGTTTCTAGCTTAGAAAAATTCATTAATGCAAATTATTTTTTTATCCCGATTTTCACGCTCGACTATTTGGGTCTTTCTTAATCAAGTCTAAGGGAGGTGATTTGGAGATTAAAAGAAAACTCGGTTTCTCACCTAATATGTCAATGGGCCGTTAGAACCCATTTGGGAAGGTAAAAATTAAGTTTAAAAGCTCATTGCACATTAAATTCTAGTCCCACAAAAATAAAAAAAATAAAAATAAAATGAACATGGGCCTACGCCTAAATTTCCCTACTAAACCATAAAAAAAAATTACAAATCCATAATAACTATAAAATTAGGTCCAAAACCAAATTAACGACTAAATCTATGAGCGAGAAGAAATTAGTAGCATCATAAAAATAAGTTAAAATTAACTATAAACAATAGCCATAAAAAATAAAATAAAATAACAAGAAAAGACTCGTCATTAGAATAAAGTCGTTTTCAAGTTCCAAACCTACTCCATCTAGACTAACCTAGACTAGCATTGCATAAAATAAACACATAATGTGCAAGACATAAAAACATGTAAAAAAAAAAATCATAGATCATATAAAAACAATTTCATGAAAAATAAAATAGGCAATAGGACTCCACAAGGTACTTGACCTATAAATTCAGATTTGACTTATTTTAATTTTTTAAAACAATTTACCGGCTTATTGCTAGCTTCATCGTTGACCAATAGTTCCTCATAGATTTAAAATAAAAATATTGTCCGATATGTCAAGCAACCTCTTTTTATTGAAATTTTTTTTTAAAAAAAAATCAAAATAAGACGATTGAAACTTTAAAAAAATTAACTAATCCACTATTCCTAATATAATTGAATATTAAAACACATCATACATCGAAACGACTTGAATTTAGATCTTTTTTAGTTATGTCACATATAACCCAATATTTAAGGTTTCAAAATTTTCAATTACATCCCTAACCAAACATTTTACATTCAATAATCATCCAAATATTCATCTTCAATCACACAATTGACATTACCATCCTATGAAACAGAGAAACAATGAGGCAAAATCATAAAATTTGGATGAAAATCAGATCAAAAATGTAAAAATTCAGAGACATAATTATCTAAATCAGTAATAAATTAGTAATTCAGAGACTAAACTAGATCTGAAGTTCACCATGAATGATGAAATTTTGAACTATGAGTGTGACTTCCTTGATAATCAAAATTGAGCAATTCTTATAGGGTTAGAGTCGTATTGGACAGACACTTCTTCTAGTTTGACATGTGTAGATTGACAACAAACAAGTAACAAACGACAATTGGATCTTTATGACTACTGTTTTGTCTCTTCTTCTTTTGCTATTAGGGTTTTTCTTTTTTGTGTAACAATCTCTTTTGCCCTTTTGTGTATATACATGCCTAGTATTTATAGAAATGCTCCTAGGATTAACCAACTTTTTTTATTTTAATTTTCCCCTTTTATTATTAATTAGACCTAACCCAATGTTTAATCCACACCTGATCCCTCCTTTCGTTTTTTTTTTTTTTTCCCTCTATTTCTTTTTCGATCCTGATCTAGGCCCAATTACTCCAATTTTTTTTTCCTTTATTTTTCTCCTCTTATCTCTCTCTGTCTCTCTCTCTCTTCCTTTCTTTTTTCTTTTTTTGTGTTTTTATGAGGGTAAAAACATGATGATGCCATTGTTAAAAATTATTAGGAATAAAAATCTGATTCGATCCCACGCTCTCAAACCGAGCAGGTTATATCATATGATACCTGAATCGGATGCAGTCTAAACGGATATTCTGAGGAGGCAAAACCCAGCTTTCCGATAAACTTGGCACCCAAAAGGAAATGTTTATATGAGACACCGATGGTATCAGCTGAGAGAACTAAATTTATTTGTTTAACAGTATATAACAATCTCAATGAAGTATAATTGCCATATTCAAAACAGTATAGAATTTAGGACCTTAACTTCATTTCTTCATGAGAAGAACCACTGTGTGTGCAGCGATACTTCTATTTTCACCAAGGCTATCAACCTTTTCATGAGTTTTTGCTTTCAGATTTAAGACAGAGGGGTCTGCTCCTAGCAGCTCAGACAAATTGGCCCTGATAGCCTCCTTGTATGGGCTCAGTTTTGGCCTTTGAAGAATCAAGGTAGCATCCAAGTTTCCAATCTCGTAACTAGCCTCATGCATAAGTCTCACCTGAAATGAAGAATAGGATAAGCTTGATGTGACAGACCAACTGAACTGCTTAGAGAACCTCACATGATGATTTTTAGGGTTTCAGAGAAGTAGACGAAATCATTTTCAGCTATAAACATAATGTACACTTTGATTAACTAACTGGAATAAACATCTAGCTGATCCCGGAGAATGACAATGAATGTCTGAAACACAATGCCTATAAGGATTTTATATATATATATATATATATATATTCCAGGATAAATCATTATACCAGGTTGTTATACAGACTTGCACATAATAAGATTTAACCACTTGTTCCTTGATGTCAGTACTCTTAATCTCACATCTAAACATCAATGCCAGTACACCAATCAAGTCAAGAACAGCCCACCCCATTATTTAAGATGTTTATCACAGTAGTAAATGTCCATGAATAAACATAAGAGAGTAACTATAAAAGTTTGATCATCCAAGGCTTGTTTCAAAACCTCTTAATGCTACATTAAACTAACTGTCACAGATGCAAATGGGGAAGTGATAGATGGCAACAAAGATTGGAGGAACTAAAAAGCTTGGGACAGCTCACCTGGCAAAGAGATAGCAGGGGATGAGGGGCGTGGCAGCAGATTAGAGACTAGGATGTTGAAACTGTTATAGTTTTAATTAGTTTTGGCAATGAAGGTGGTTATACAGTTAAGTTAAAACAACCAGATTATATCATTGTAACAAACTCAAAAAGGATCAAATCCTATCACAAATGTAACAACTCTACAAGGATCAACTCGTGTCACAGGATTCATCGAGGAACAATGTTGACATTCTCTTCTTTTCTCTCCCAAATTCCTCTCTGTCCTTCCAAATTCACAAATCTGTTTCTGCAAGTCCTAAAGAATATACATCACCAAGACACTATACATGTTTTATGGTAGGTAGGCTTGCTAAGAAAACACATAGGATAATGAATACATCGCAAAAATAGATTAGTTGAAAGAACACATGCTGCAAACATATTATTTGCAGGAATAAAGTAAGTAAAACCTTCAAAAGTGATATCAAGAATGATCTCGTGAAAGCTTGTCTGCTGTTCTCCACCAGATACAACAAGCTTTCAGAAAAATACACTAGAATTAATACATGAAGGCTAAGCCAGAGCAGATATACACTGGAATTTAATGGTTACAGGCTATTCTGGCGTGGTGCCATTAGCACTACACCAAGTGTTAATGGCACTCTACTTGTCTCTAGATCTTTCTTTCTCTCTTAATAAAAGTGGAGTGCTTTTAACACTTTTGCACAGTGCTAAAGCCCCACCCACTCCTTTAGGGATGTGCACATGATATAGACAGCATCACTTTTATCTTTGTCAGTACACATATCATACAAAGAAAATTTTCTATCACAAATCCTTAACCACCCTCTTCTACACTCCCCAGTCAAACTAGACACAATTAAAGTTGTTCCAAACAAGGGCTTCACTTCATCAGCATCAATCCGGAAGCATAGAGATTTTAGAGTACTATCAGAATTTCTTCTTCGCAGATCATATACTCGACCTCTAAACACCAATTCATGTAAGCGAACCAATTTAAAAAGGGAAGTAAAACAGTTTGAAAATCAGGTCGCTTAATTCGGAATAACTACAATTCAACTCTAACATATTGTCTACTATTGCCTATGAGCATGTAGATATTCATTTTTTCTTCCACAACGATAGGAACTCTCAAACCCTTTAACTTTAAGTTAGCAAATATGATTTATTCAGTGTTCAAAGCAGAACTAATTCCTCAAAGCACCTTGACTAGCACATCCAAGCCTGTGAGTGATTTCCTACTCGGCTACTCAATGTACAAGCATAGTTGAATCTATACTGAGTATTGACAATGAAGAGAAACATTAAAATTCCACACAACCAAATTTAAGACAACCAAGAACCCATAAAAAACTTTTCTAATTCTCATAACTATATATATAAAAGGAGAACAAAGAAAACTCACAGCTTCTTTAACAAAAACAGATGAAGCTGCTCCTTTCCACTTAGGATCGGAATCAGGGAATATCTGCCCAATATCAGGGAGCCCCAGTGCACCCAATATTGCATCCACAACACAATGAAGCAGCACATCCCCTGCAACAATTCAATAAAACCAGTTAAACAAAATCATATCCCAATTAGTTCTCATAATTAAAAAAAAAAAAAATAACACCAAAAAATGATCAAAGCCCAAATCTTTTTTAAGTCCCAAAACTCTCAACTTCGAATAGGAACATTTAATTGATATGGAATTTAAAAAAAAAAAAAAAAAAAAAAAAAAAAAAAAAAAAAACATCAAGAATCAATCAAATGTTACCATCAGAGTGCGCTTCACATCCTCTATCATGTGGCACATCAATCCCGCCAATAATCAAAGGGTACCCAGGTTCTAGCCTATGGAGATCAAACCCATGGCCCACTCTAAAAGGCAAAGTCTTTGATGCTTTGCTAGAAGTTGTAGGTCCATCTACTTGTATAGTAGTAGTAATTGCAGCTGATGTTGAAAGTCTGGTTCTTTTCTGAACTGGTACAGGGAAATTGACATGGCTAGTGGTGTAAGTACGAGGTGGTAACGGAAGAGAAACACTTTTGTTGTTGTGGGTTTTGGTTGTTATTGGAGAATATGAAGTGTACAAGTTTGTGGTCGTGACCATGGCCATTGGGCCTTCTGGGTTCTCTTTCTTTCACAATTTACAGAGAAATTTTCAGCGTAGAAGTGTTTTTTTTTTTTTTTTTGGTGGTACAAAGGAAAGGGTTTTTGTGGTGTTGAAGCGGCTGGGCTTATTTGGTTTTGGAAACGAAGATTAGGCAGGGTACAATGTTTTATAAGCTGATGGTTCAAGCTCGTAAAAATGGAGGAAGCCGAAGGGCAAAAGACATAATTTATGTGGGTAGTTGACATACGTGACTTGGATTTACTCAACTAGATTCAAAATTTTGTCTCGTGGAATAAATGCATTTTTCATGAGAGTGCGTTGCGGGAGTAAATTACAAATTAGTCTCTGTAGTTTTGGAAATTGAATTAAATAGGTTTTTAAAATTTTTAATGTTAATTAATTTTTTATTTGATGTTAATCATGTTTAATTTAATATTAATTTGTTTTAAAAATATTTTATCTTCTTATCAGTTTTTCAATAATATTTATTTATTTTTAAAATTTTTTATTTCTTAAAAAAATAAAAAAAGACATGAAATAGATAAAATAGACTAATTAATTAATTTTAAACTAGAAAATTATTTAATTTATTTTGTAAAACTAAAGAGACTATTTTATGATTTACTTGTGTTGGGAGTTACATGTAAAAAATAATAATAAACATTGAATATTGTAGTATATACAAAATTTTATGTCTTGTTAGCTTTGTTCTTCAATCGTTGAAGGAAAAAAAATCGATTTGGTAATAGTTTATATATATATATATATATATATATATATATATATATATATATATATATATATATATAACTCAAACCAAAAATTGAGTCACAATTTCATCAAGAAGTTCAATTTTTAATTTATTTGTTTGTCATAATTATCATGGTTACTTTTGTACCATTCAATCTTAAAAAGACGAAAACTCTACGTTTAAGACTTGCATTTTTTTTTCCGACGAGATCACTGGATTAAACGTGTCTGTATCTTACCAAATATAGCATCATACGGCTTGCTGCACATAAAATGTATATTGTTCTCCTATTTCTATTTTCTATATATAGATTTTCTACGTCAAACAAATAGAGGCTAATTTCCATAATCGGAAAAGATATTATTAAATGACAAATGGGCACAGGGGATGCATGAGCTTTATTCCCTGTTTTCTATGATCATCAATCTTCATCGACCATTACATTTTCATCCTCCAAGTCCCAACACATATCACTGTACTATCTCAGTTTTTTATGAATCCGAACCTCTAAAAAAATAATAATAAAATCAAATACTGTTTAAAAATATGGAAATAATATCAAACCCATATTCTAATTTAATACACAATCTTTTATATATAAGGGAATGGGATAAAAAAATGATTTTATACAATAATATATTTTGATTTAATAATAATTTTTGTCTTTTTTCTATTGCGATTTGACAATTTCGGATCCTTAGTATCAAATTGTACAATTTGAATACTAAAGTATTGAGTTTTAAGCAAAATTGATCTAATTTTTCAAATTACCATTAAATGTAATTGTCAACTCGTGTTGGCCATTCGTCGTTGTCGTTTAATTTTCTTGTTAAAAAAAAAATCATTTAAAAATAATTTTAAAATTAAGTGGGGTTAAATTAGGGAGATAAGACAGGTGACGATCTAACCTAACATTTGCAAAATTGTTGAGGAGATAGTGCCAGCTTTTTTTTTTTTTTTTTTGCAAATGTTTGTATTGTAATTGAATTGAAAGGGATAGAGAGCGAGAGTGAAAGTGAGAGAGTTGGTTAATTTTGGCTTGATTTTACACCCAAATCCTAGAGAGACGAAAATGTGAGGAGAAGGGAGAGATAATGTTAGGATTTGCTAGGTTTTTCTCAATCGGATTGAATTCAAGGTAGAAATAATAATTTAGGATATTTTTTGTTTTTGAAATCTTCCTCAATTTGGTATGTGCTTGATTTCATGGCTTTTCATTCTTCTTCTTCTTTTGTTTCAAAATCATCAAATGCAAGAACATGTGTTGAAGACATATCTTCATTGTTCATTCAAAACCCTCCAAGTGTGATATACGGAGGCTTGTCCTATGAAATATTGCAAATACGAACTCTCAACTCCTCGATAGACTTCATAGAGTGATAATAATTCAAGAATGAGATTCTTTGCATGTTCAAAATTCAACGTAGAAAATGAGTAAAAAATGCAATTAATTTCAATTTCAAAATCCAATGGTGAGAGGAAGAGAAAGAAATATAATTAATGCCTCCAAGTATACTAAAAAGAAGCTAGTTGCTAAGAATGAACGTTTGTTTAGAGGAAATCTGATTCTAAAAGAGAAGATTGACAACAGTAATGAAAATAGATAAAGGAAATATTATGGGTGTAACAATTATGTTAGTTGTTTAGTTGCAATTATTGTTATATCACCATGCTTGTGGTTGTTTAAATAAGATGTTGTTGGGAATAGGTTAATGTTGATTGAGTTTTGTTAAAATTGAAGTGTTGGTTGAATATACTTTAGGCAATTTCCACGCAACATGTGTACTAATTTATATGTTTAATGCTAATATTCATGTTGGTGTAAATTTTAGTTTAATGTTAATGAATAATGTTTAATGTTGATGTTGATGTTCATGTTAGTGTTGATTCTAATTTTATAATTGGTGTACAGAAAATATGCAAAGAATGGAAGTGTAATGTTGTTGTTAAATTTACAGGGTTTGTTAGTTTAAAGTTAATGTTAGTGTTTTAAGTTTAGTTCAAAGCAAAAAAGTGTTGCTTTCTCTACAGTTGAATGGATTGATCTTCAATTCTGCACAATTGAAGTCCAATTCTCCAAAATTCTGTAGAATTGTTTTTCAATTTTACAAAAACTTCAATTTTGGAGATTGAAAAACTTTATTTCCAGAATTCTGTAAATTGTTCTTCAATTCTATAGAAACTACAATTCTCCAAAATTGAAGAATAAATTTGATTAAATCAACGCTTATGAAGAATTGTTAGGTTAGATTTAGGGGATAAGGTAGATGACTTGTCGCCTTATCACCCTAATCTAATCCCACTTAATTTTAAAGCTGTTTTTTAAAGGTTTTTTTTTTTTTTTTTTAGAAAAATAGATAAACAACAACAATAACAGTTAGCACAATTGATTATTAAATTTAACGATATTTTAGAAATTAAATCAATTTTATCCAAAACCCAATACTTTAGAGTTCAAATTACACAATTTAATATTAAAGATCTGAAATTGCCAAATCACAATAAAATGAGGGCCAAAAATATCATTAAACCAATATATGTTGGACTATCCAAATTATTGTTAGCAAAGCACCATGCAAGAAAATCTCGTACAAAAGACAATAGATAGCTTCCAATTCTATTTCTCATTTCGGTAGCTAAAAATATGAATGATGTTTCATGGCTTTGACAACCTCGACCGTCCATTTTCTGCGAACAGGAGAGACTAGAGAGAGCATTGGCTTGAATCACATAAACTCGGCTCCTCCTGAAAAACGCTCACAAGCCAAAAATTTGTTCCCATCATATCTATAAAGACTTCAAATCTAGCAAACTAGGAAGCCGGTTAACTGTGGAGCAACAAGTGATCAGCTGGAAATACTTAAAAAGGCAGAAACACCACCATTGGATTATTGAAATGATTGGTCAACGCATGTTCAATTAAAATCTAGCATGGCAAGGGCTTATGCAGCAACTTCAAAACAATTCAAATGCATTGATTCCACTTGTAATTTTAATATGGATAGCAATTAGCATCAAAGTATATCCACATGGCGAAAAAAATAGCCAAGGTAAAAAGCAAAGCATAACTAACCATCTCACTGAGTCACATGATGACCCAGTGAACCTGTAGTTTTGTACACACAACTCTACTTGCATTGCTCAACAATTTAGAGAAATAAGAAAGTCATACTCATCAACCAATTGGCACACTGGGCAGTGATGTGATTTGTATTTACAATGACGGCCAATGTACCAGACTTTCAAGTAACATACAAAAGCTTATTATGAGGTAGAAGCCCTAGCCTGCTTATATCCATGCTCTGGCGTCAAATGTTCAGAGGCAGCTCTCTTTTGTCTCAACTGCAACAAGAAAGGGAATGACGAGCTAAAATAAGCATGCTGCCAATGGATGCACCACTGAAAGGGAAAGATCAAATATGTGAAACCACATTTTAATTTACCAACCTTCTCTTCAGCTCGCTCATAGAAATTTCTCAGCAGAATATTTTTTGCTTCAGTAGTTATCACTGCCAAAAGGGTTTAAGACAGATTAGCAGCAGATTATGGAATCATCTTCAGATAAAATGAAGACCAAAAAATTGAATTACAAAAACCAAATGCAGGAAGTTCAGCCGATCAAACTTGCATAAGCATGCAAAAAATCAATTGCATAATCCAAATAGCGAAAGCTTTTCAGAATGTCAAAGGCTTATGAAATTTCATGCGATCCCAAGTGGCGAATCAGGGTCAAATACCCACTTATGGGGCAAGAGGCCTGCAGATTAAAGAGAGTGAAACTGATCCATCCAGCAGGGAACCAAGCATGTAAAATTCAACATTGATTGCAAAACATCCCCCCTGACGACAGGCCAGATGCTTTGCCACTCACATTCAAAGTAAACTGAAGCTCCTTGTTGTTTTATTAGGATGTGATAGTGAGATTGCACCAATTTTTCTTAAGCCAGCATGTTGTACCTAGATTGATCACTCCCAACTTTATGCATACCATGGACTTTGAAGGGGTGGCCCCAAGCCTCAACACAAATCTATGTTGGTTTTGCTCAGGCATGGTTGTTGGATCAATCTCCCCACCTCCTCCATGTTTAATATTCTAGATTTTTGCCTTTTAAGGATCTTTCTTAATAAAGTCACAAAATATTAATACCTTGATGGACAGGAATCAGAAGATAGATCAAAGAGCAAAATGCTAGCATCTAAGCTCAATAAACATTTACATTCATAACAAGAGAGACACTATGGTAGTATGCAC